AATGCCCCATGTGGAGAATCCTGCCTGCCAGCACCTTCCACAGCAGCCCTCGGGGCAGTGCTGGTGCTGTCCAGGCAGGCTGGTGGCACTGGAGCCGTGCTCTGGAGAAGGTGGCACCAGCTGGCTCTGGCCCAGGCAGGCATGGAGGCTTTTGCTGTGCAGGTGCTGCAGCCCCGCTGGCAATGCGAGGGCCAAGCCCTGCTGGAGAGCTGGCTGAAGGGCTGCTTCAGCCTCATGCCCTGCAGGCTCTGCTAATAAAGGAGTTGATTTGGACCTCCCTGCTCTGTGTCCCCTTTGTGTTCAGGGCAGCCACAGCTGGGGGTGACTCGAGACAGGCAGGGGACAGGGAGTGGCACTGGGTGAATTACTGAGGCCTGAACAACGGGCCCTGCCTTAGGCCTGAACGTTAGGCCCTGAGTCAAAGTTGTCCAGTGGATGAACCTTTCCACCAAAAGTGATGTGTATCCACTCATTAGGGAAGCATTATTAGCCATATGATAAATGTATCTGCTCATTAACAAAGCATCATTAACAATATGATCTCGNAACATCTGAAGCTCTGAACAGCTTTGTCAGGGCCAGCTGGGGTGACTTCCTGGCAAGTGCTGCGGGGGCCCTGGATGTTTCTAAATCCAGCTCAAAGGCTTCTGTCCTGGGAAGAGCCGGAGAGGGTTCCCATACAGTGATTCAGCTCTACATGGTCAACACAGGGGGCCGACCAGACACAGAATCCCCTTCTCAGTGGAGAACGGGGCTCGTGTCTGATAACACAAGGTGGTGCGTTATTGACCGTGGGTTTGAGCTGATCCCAGTGTGGGACGTCATCCTGTACAATCACAGCAGGGATTTTAAGTCCGTGGGTCAGATGAGCAGAGCCCTCAGGGCTGCGTACAAAGCGCTGACGAATCTGAGTGTTGGCAGCATTTTTGGAGAGGAACTGGGCAGTGCAGTGCAAGAGGCCAGAGATTTCATGAGGACTCTGAAGGCCTGGGAGGTGCCGGTGGATGAAAGGAAGCTTCTCATGCTGATGGAGCTAAAAGATGATCTGAATGCAAAAACCAGGAACCCCAGTGTGTGGATCAACATGTGCCTGTCAGACAAAGCCCTGCAGGACTTCCTGGTGAACACCGTGCGGAGTTGCCAGGAGTCACCTCCAGAAAACACCAGCTTTATCAAGGTAATATTGAAAAGCCTCCTGACTCCACATATCTACTCTGTCAAGGACTTCCCTGAGGCTTCCTTCATTATGCAATGGATCTTCCAGACTGAACACCCACTTCCCAAATCTCCCAAAGTCTCTGAGCTTGAAGACCTCATCAAAACACTGCAGCAAATGAAGGAGCATATCCATGCTGTCTCCTACGCACCAGGAAGCTCTGCTTCCGCCATTCATGAAGCAAAGCGAGAAGCGACCCAGACCAGCAGCCTCGCCATTTATTCCTTACTCCAGTGTCTCCAGGAAAAGGCTCAGAAGGACATGGAACTGTTGGTGCTCTTGATTGTGAGCAGCACAGGGTACCAGGTGGAAAGCAGCACTTTTCAGCACCTCCTTGGACACCCAGAAATTGAGTACATGGCCAAGGAAATGGAAGCGGCGCACAAGGAGTACGTGAACCTGAAGGAGCGGGATGCTGACAGAGCTGAGGCCTCTCTTCTGCTGAAGGGTCTGACGGTGACACCAGAAAGTCAAGGGCTGTCCCCTGAGCAGAAGAGGGAGCGTTTAATTTTCATGGAAGATCACATGAAAGGCTTGTGGTCCACACGGATAAAGAATCTGCTCCAAAAGCACAGTGGAGGTGAAGACTGGGAGAGGCTGGAACAGGACTTGCATTCCTTGATCAGTGGGTGCTTGGATGGCAACGGGAATGAAGAGAGGTTGCAGAACATAATCAGAGACCTGAAAGGCACTTTTTCAACATCTGAACTCCCTAGCCAGTCTCAATCCACCTCAGACAGCAGCCAATCCAAAGCAGATGAAGCCATTCCAAAGCAGGAGTTCCTCCAGCTGCTCAAGCGCCTGGGACTGGAAAGTCACTATCCAAGAAGAATGGGGATGGGAGATTTCCACACCATCTGCAGGACATGTCTGCAGGACAGCCAGCCCAGCCAGGACACAGAACTGCCAGGTTACTTCCTGCAAAAGCTGTTAACTGTGGATTACCAGGTGAGGTACCTGACTTGCTGGGATGAGAGCATCCCTGGCCTTGCATCTGTGCCAGTAACTACAAAAGAAGAGGATGAACTGTCAGATTCCTTTGATAACTTTCTTGATGATTTGGACGAAACAGCCCCTGAATGTGTGAGCAGGGACAGCCATGTGCACCCCATGGACCTGCAGATGGCCATTTTCCACTGCGCTGATGACTTCCTGAGACAAACCCTTGCAACCAAGCTGGCCTTCTGCCAACTGGCGCTGCCTCTGCTGGTGCCCAACCCGTGCACTTCACGCATCGAGTTCCCACTCTACGCCCTCAGCCAAATCCAAAGGAGCTGGAAAGAGGTTGAGAAGTCAGGAGAGCAGGCCCAAACAAAGAGTTACAACAACAAACTCATCTTTCAGACACAGATACCCATCGTGTCCTTCATCCGCATTGGCAGCTCGGCCTCCTCTTCCAAATCTCAGCTCCTGAATGCTCTGCTGAGCAAACGCAAACACGACACTTTCTTCCACCGCCACTGCAGAGGCAGCACCAGGGAGCGTTTGCTGATGGAAGGGGTGGTGGAGATCGCTTGGTACTGCCCCCGTGGAAGCCCTGATGACACCTTTGAGCGCTGCGTGGCTTTCTGCAACCTGCATGGAGATGCCAGGGATCACAAAGCACAGCTGCAGTTCCTGCAGGAGATATCTGCTGTCAACGTGGCTCTGGTGTCCGATTCGGAGCACATGGACAGCAGGGGGAAAAAGCTTCTGCAGGACCTGTGGCAGTCACAAAGGCCTTTGGTTTGTCTTCTCACAGAAAAAGAGAAAGTTGCACCTGGACGATCAAGTACAAAAATAAAAATTGGGATCAGGAACAGAAACGAAGCAGAACTGGTGATCCAGCTGAGCAAAACAATTGGGAATCTCCTGGCAGGGTCTAATACACGTTTCAGCCTGGATGCCTGTGCAGACAAAGCTCGCCAGCAAGGATTCATAGTGGATGCAGATCAACCCGGGTGTGTGGCAGCCAAAGCAAAGGCAAAGGAGCTGGTGGAGCTTCTGAAGAAAGAGAAGCTATCAGAGATCAAATCCCAGCTGCTGCCGCTTCAAGGAAAACTGTGGTACCAGTGGTGCAAAAAGGACAAAGAACTCACTCGCTTGCAGGAGAAGGGGAACAAGAGCATTGAGCATCATCGCAGCCAAATTGAAAATGAGAAGAAATCACTAAGAAGAAAGCAACTTGAGCAAGCTTTCCCCCTCAACCCACTGATGAAATCATTCCTTGGCTTTCTCAAGGGCCAACCAGCAGATACCAAGAAATATTTCCTGCAGTGGATGAAGGTCTTCATGGATGAGATGTCCTGTGGTCGCCTTGAAGAACTGAGGAGAGTCTCTCATGAGTTATGGACTGAAATCTCAACAGGAAAGAAATACAAGAAAAATCCCAGTGTGAATGCTGAGTTCCTGAGTTACTTGGATGCTCTCTCTAGTGAAATCAACAATTCATCCATTGGCCTGGAGCACCTTCTGAGAGAGGTGGGGCAGATTTATGAAGCTCTGCAATTAATGGAGACAAATAATAGCAATTTTGCCAAACTGCCAGAAATTGCAGCAGAACTGATGGTTTTGGGTTATCCTGTGGAGCTGATGGATGGGGACGCTTCTTACCTGCCCTTACGCTGGGTGGGAGCCATCTTTGACAGCTTAATGGAGAGGCTGGGGGACAAACGAGTGTTTGTGCTCTCCGTGCTGGGCATCCAGAGCACAGGCAAGTCCACCCTGCTGAATGCCATGTTTGGTCTGCAGTTCAGCGTCAGTGCGGGGAGATGCACCCGCGGAGCCTTCATGCAGCTCATCCCAGTGGGCGAGGAGCTGCAGCAAGACTTGGGCTTTGATTTTGTGCTGGTGGTTGACACCGAGGGGCTCCGTGCCATTGAGATAGCCAATAAACAGTCCCTGAACCATGACAATGAGTTGGCCACCTTTGTCATTGGTGTTGGCAACATGACTGTGATCAATGTGTTTGGAGAGAACCCATCGGAAATGCAAGATGTTCTCCAGATCGCTGTGCAGGCTTTCCTGAGGATGAAGAAAGTCAATCTTTCCCCCAGCTGCCTCTTTGTCCACCAAAATGTGGGAGAAGCAACTGCCAAGGAGCAGAACATGGAAGGCCAAAGGCGTTTGCAAGAAAAGCTGGATGAAATGACCGTGATAGCTGCCCAGCAGGAATTCTGTGACATCTTGTCCTTCAGTGATGTCATTGGCTTTGATGTGAACACCCACATTCACTACTTTGCTCACCTGTGGGAAGGAAACCCCCCAATGGCACCACCCAACCCCACCTACAGCCAGAACGTCCAGCAACTAAAGAGCAAAATCCTCCAGGCTGCCAAGAAGCAGTCGCAGCACAGCATTTTGAGGCTCTCGAGCCTGAAGGATCGTATTGGTGACCTCTGGAATGCTTTGCTGAATGAAAACTTTGTTTTCAGCTTCAAGAATTCCCTGGAGATTGCTGTGTACAGGAAACTGGAAAGTGCCTTTAGTCGGTGGACCTGGAAGCTGAGGAGTCACATCTTAGACATACAGATGAGACTGGACAACCGAATTCGGAATGGGGACTTGCAGAATGTCACCAGAAAAGACCTTGAAGAGCTGGTGCAAAAGACAATTGATGGCATTGAGAAAGAAGTGGAGAAGTATTTCGGGGAAGACAAAGACCATGAGACACTGATCCAGTGGAAATCAGGCACAGAGCTGAAGCTGAAAGAACTAAAAGAGACTCTTCTCCATGAAATGAAGAAGAAATGTGAGAGTCTTATAGAGCTACAGAAGGAGCAGAGGAAACTGGATGCAAGGAAGTTGGAATATGAAGATGAGCTCCTGAGAAGGAGTAGGGAGCTGGCTGTGACTCTGAAAGGGAAGAGCCTGAGTGAGAGAGAACTGAGAGATAACTTCACTTTTGTCTGGAACAAGTGGATTGCCGATGTCTCCAGTGCTGCTCGTCCTCTGGAACGGGTGAATATCGATGCAGAGATTGAAGAAGTCCTTCTAGAGCACTTTAAGGAGCCAGGTTTCCATGCACGGATCATGTCATTTCCCAAAAGCAGTGGATTTTCTTTCGACTTAGAGAAACATGTCATGAAAAAAGAGAATTTTCGCTTTACCTCAGATCCCAGGAACATTCCTTATGCTGATGCGATCAACTTTCAGCACATCACAGACAACATCATAGCGTGTGTCAAGGCAAACATTGATAAGAAGGAACAGGAGAAACGGGATTACAGTCAAAATTTTATCCATGAAATACTCAATGAAGTACAGAACGGTGTGAACTCCGTCCCCAGCCATGCCAAATGTACTTTTAACAGAGAGTACAGCATAGCTTTGTCTCTGTATCTGTGCAAAATGGCAGGGGAAAGGTTTAAAGCCATGCACAAAGCATTCCAAAAGGCAAATGACCCAGTTGTGTACCTGAGCAGCAAGAGAGAAGAGTTCTTCCAATGTTTCCAGATGTCCTGCCAAGGAGCCACTTCAATCACAACTTTTGCTGTTTTCCTTTGTGACAAGATTGAAGCGGCTCTTCGCCGGGCGGTCTATGAGAGGACGTCTAAAGCCATCGCTGAGGACATGCAGGGCAAATTCCCAGATTTCAGGGGCAACAGAGCCAGTCTGGAAGTTTGCATCCTGAGATACCTGGCAAAAAAAGAAAATTTTGAGTATTTCATGCAATACCTTCATTCCCCAAAAAAATTTTTTTGGAGGTATCTTGAGACACGAGTTAAGCGTTACTGTTTAGGTAAGGGTAAGAGACTGGAGAAATTTTTAGATTGCTCCCTTAATCTTCTCTATCGAAACATCCTGTCAGCTGTTTCTTTATCAACCCAAATTGTCAAAGACAGAAAAGACAGAGAGGACAAAGTCTCTCTTTGGCTGGATGAATTTTGCAGGGAACTGACAGAAGTGATCAACTTGCCCAGAAGTGACTTGAAGGGCATCGAGCACCAAGAGGTCAAAGATACTGAGTTCCTGAGGAGTGCCATGGCAGAAGCTCTGGATGACCTGAGGGACAGGCTCAGGAAAGAATTTGCTGGTGCTGATATGAGCTCGTTTGCAACGCAGCCTCACACCATCCTGGTGGAGCAGTTTTCGGGGTGCTGGGAGAAGTGTCCCTTTTGTGGGGCTGTCTGCACAAACACCATGCAGGGACATGATGGAGACCATCAGCTGGTCTTCCATCGCCCACAAGCTTTGGTGGGTGTTCAGTATTACAAGACAAAAGAGCTGGTCATTGATATTTGTTCCAGCCTTGTTGCAAGTGATGTCTTATTCAGAGTTGGTGACAATGAATGTATCCACTGCAAGACATACCGTGATGCTGGACCTCCTTTTTCCAATTGGAACATTCTTCCTGATTCATCTATGCAGGCGTACTGGAAATGGTTTGTGTCTCATTTCAGGACACAGCTGGAAGCTTTGTACAATGGTAAATTTCAGGGCAAAGGAGAAATCCCTGAGGCATGGCAGAGAATTACCAAGCAGGAAGCCTTGGCTGAGCTGGACAGGCATTAGGCCACATCCATGGGAAGGAAGAACCACAGGGGCTTTGCAGTTCAGGAGACTTTGCAGTTCAGGAGAACTTTGTACCAGGCTCTCCACAAATTCAGTTACAATGATGATGTTCTCAAGCCCAATAAAGACAATGGTATCCAACTGCTCCTGATTTTTGTGAAAAAAGGCGTTTTACTGTGGCTGTCGCTCAGGAACTCCCTTGCTTGATGAGAAAGCCAGAATCCTCTTGCCTTCCTGCTATAAACATTTCCCTCTGCTTTGTCCTAGAGCCAAACCAAAGCCCCTCCTTGTGGCGATCGGCCTCGTGGCAAGGAATTTAACAGGAAAGTTTTACAGATATGAATGCTTAGTAGAAGGTTCTCTTGAAACAAAAGCAAGCTTTGATAGATAAAAATATGCTTTTAGAGCCAGTTGTTTCTGAAACAGCTGAGAGAACAAAGGTTTAGTTGAGTTGGAAGGTCTAGAACCACGGTTTAGTCACGTAGAAGGAGGTTTTATTGCTAAAGTCCAATAGCTTAAGTTGTCTTCAAACAAAGCGTATTTTCTCCCAAATAAAAAAAGCATTGGTAGTCAGAAAGATGTTTTTTTACCAAAGCAAAAAGAATTTTCCACTGCAAAACAAGATTCAAAGTTTAACATGTAATTACGGACTCAGATGATTGGTTAGTCACTAACATAGTGTGGTAGTTCTAACAGTTTTGATAGGATATGTGTAAATGTAAAGGTACTGTGTATGATGCTGATTGGTTGTTAGGTAATTATACCACAGCAAAAGAAAGAGATATACTACATTGTAACCAGAACTAAAGGGGCTCCAGGACACAGGGCTTGCCTATAGCCAACAGCAGTAGGCTGACCTACAACCCCCTGCTGTAACCTGGTCTATGGATTAAAGAGCATTTATAAAGAAGAGTCATCTGTAGTCCCCATCTCTCCACCAGCTTTTACAGGCAGCACTCGGAGCACCCCTTGGATCAGGTGCTGTGAGACAGGAAGTGACAGTGCCCCCAAGGCATTTTTCCTGCAGCAAGGAGGTGTCCTGCTCGGAGAAAGGGCTGCAGGACCTGAGGCCAGCTCCACGCTGGCTGCAAGATGGGCTGCTTGGCTTTTGGGCATCATCCTTCCCTCCCTCACTGCAGCCTCCTGGATCAACTGAGGCCCTTCTCCCAGCAGGAGCCGTTGTGCCTCTGGGCTCAGGAAAGCAGGGACACGATGGCCCTGGGGCTCAGGCAGTGCTTTCACTCCCAGTCTCGGAGGCGCTGTGTCTCTGTCCAGGGCAGCCGCTCCTGCTCAGCTGCCTGGGGCTGCTGCCCTTCCCTGCAGCCCTCAGGCCTGCAAGGAGCTGCTCCTGCCCTTGGCCTCACTGCTGAACAAAAGCCTTGGGAATGCCCCATGTGGAGAATCCTGCCTGCCAGCACCTTCCACAGCAGCCCTTGGGGCAGTGCTGGTGCTGTCCAGGCAGGCTGGTGGCACTGGAGCCGTGCTCTGGAGAAGGTGGCACCAGCTGGCCCTGGCCCAGGCAGGTATGGAGGCTTTTGCTGTGCAGGTGCTGCAGCCCCGCTGGCAATGCGAGGGCCAAGCCCTGCTGGAGAGCTGGCTGAAGGGCTGCTTCAGCCTCATGCCCTGCAGGCTCTGCTAATAAAGGAGTTGATTTGGACCTCCCTGCTCTGTGTCCCCTTTGTGTTCAGGGCAGCCACAGCTGGGGGTGACTCAAGACATGCAGGGGACAGATGGAAACACCATGGCGTCTTTAGCTACAACACCACCATCCTTCTGCTGTACTGGATGATGGCACAGTGAGAAATAAATCGGTACACGATACTTCATCCCATTTTCTGTCCCAGTGACAAAAAACATTAATTATAATAAGGTGTTATATATGAAAGTACCATTCTTTGGCTATTTTCCTTCATTGTCTAGTGCATACACTGGCCACCAATGGTTACAGTATTCTACCAACCATTTTCTTGTCAAGGAGTCTCCATCCACCCCCCTTCCCCAGTATTTCAATATACAGCCAAACAGGAAGTTCTTCAGAATTCCTCCTTCAGCAAATCCACCTGATCTCATGATACAAAACTACAACAATAGTAAAATTTACCACTCACACCACAGAGCTTGAAACAAGGCACCTGTGTAAGCTCCTGACAAAACAGCCAGCACAGCTTTCAGCACCATGGGAGTGAGACTACTGCAACCCACAGTGTACCTTACCTTTACTTTCCCTTTTAACCCAGTCCTGGGAGGATTTGCCACCATGACTTAAGGACAAGTGCACCCTTCATCCCGTTTAGTAATCCTGCAAATTCCCAGGGGCCTTGCCTTGAACTCACCAGATCCAGAGAACAGAGGATCTCCCTGAAAAAGCCTTTGTCGAGTGCCGGAGTCCTCTCAAAACAGCGAAACCATGGAGTGTCAGAAGCACTGTCCCATCTGGAACACCAGAAGCTGTCACCAAAATGAAGCCCCTAAACCCTAGAGAGTCTTAAGAAGTTTCATCACTTTATCACAGCGCTGGGTGCACGGGGATAACCCCACCTACAGTGCCTGCCTGGCTCAGGGGCTTACAGGTGTTTATTAACCAGAAGGATTCATACTCATTACACAGCCAGTTACGGAAGATTCCAGGATCTTCCTAATATGTTCGGGGCTTATTTTCCTTCTGGCTTAGCATTTTCCTGGGGCGCTTGTCAAAGACAAGAGGTGGGTGGAGGGTCCAGAATTATATATGGGGTAAGGGGGGGGGCGGATCTGAGGGTCAGGATCCAATGGGAACGGGGAAAAGTGGTGCAGAGGCAGGGTTAGGGACAGGAACAACCAATAGGAAAGCAGGGGCGGAGATTGCAGGAAAACTGGGGCCAATGGGGATCGGGAGAAGGGAGAACATTCTAGTGAATATACATAAATGGTAAAGGAGGGCTGAGCAGGATGACATAAACTTAACAGGCCAATGAGGGAACAGATATTAACATATAACTGGAGAGATCTAGGGAAGAGCGGCTTTTCTTACCCCAGCTTCAAGGGGTGGTTACTTGTTCCCACCTTTCCAGGGTCAAGGACTGGGGATTTTAGTCATTGGTTCTTGGGCCTTCACACCTGCCTGTGGCAGGGAGTGGGATGAGATGAGCTTTCAGCCCTTTTCACCCCTGCCACCGTATTGATTGGTGATTCAGTGACATTAAGGAGGTGCAGAGGATCAGCTCCTTGTCTCCCGCAGAGCTGCAACATCCCTGCCCTGGGTAGGGTTGGAATCCAGGTCTCACCTTCAGGTACCTCGGTTCCCACAACAGGATTTTTCCAGTGTTCCTGCAGCCCTGGGTCTGTTTCAGCAGGAAGATGGGAACAGCCCCGGGAAGATGGGAACAGCCTCGGGAAGATGGGACATTCCTGAGAGGGTGGGAGCAGCCCTAGGAAGGTGGGGACAGCCCCCGGGAAGGTGGGATATTCCCGAGAGGATGGGAGCAGCCTCAGGAAGGTGGGAACAGCCCCGGGAAGGTGGGAACAGCCCCGGGAAGGTGGGAGCAGCCCCGGGAAGGTGGAATATTCCCGAGAGGATGGGAACAGCCCCGGGAAGTTGGGAGCAGCCCCGGGAAGGTGGAATATTCCCGAGAGGATGGGAACAGCCCCGGGAAGGTGGGAGCAGCCCGCACCGCCGGCACCCGGTGCACTGCCAAAACCTATTGTCGGTAGCAATCCCTTAATTCCATTACACCTACCGCAACAATCCGCTTAGGGGAAGCTGTGGAGAGGCTGAGAAAGGAGGAGACATCGTTTAAATACACCTAGGCTTTATCCCGGGGCACGGGAGGGGCCGCAGGGCTCTTGGGCTCTGGTCAGGGTGTGCCGCAGCCTGGAGCCTCCTCCACTGCTCCTGGGACAGCTCCAGCCGCAGCCCTGGCACTGCTGTCACCTGTCCCTTGTGCTGCTCTGAGCTCCCCCAGCCCAGCTGCTCCCCCACATCCTGCAGACGTGTTCCGAGGGCTGGAGCCCCTCTGCTCTGCAGCCAGGCTGGGAGAGCTGGGGGTGCCTACCTGGAGAAAAGAAGGATCTGCAGAGAGCCTTCCAGGGCCTAAAGGGCCTCCAGGAGAGTGGAGAGGGACTGGGAGGAAGGGGCTGGAGGGATGAGAAAAGAAGGAATGGCTTCCTGCTGCCACAGGGCAAGGATAGATGGGATATTGGGAAGAAATGGTTCCCTGTGAGGATGGGGAGGCCATGGCACAAGGTGCCCAGAGCAGCTGTGGTGCCTCATCCCTGGAAGTGTTCCAGCCAGGTTGGACAAGGCTCGGAGCAGCCTGGAATGGTGGAAGGTGTCCCAGCCCATGGAGTGAGATGGTTTTGAGTGTCCCTTCCCACCCAAATCACTCTGTCACTTGATGAATCCATCTCTGCCCACTGCCCTCCAGCTCATCCCAGCTCCACCTTTTCATCATGTTCATCAGAAAGAAAAGACAAACATCAGTAAAAGGTGTGGAAAATTTTATTCTTTACTGAACTTTATTAATTTTCTGTTTGGCTTAAACACAATAAATATTTCAGCAGTAGCATTGAACAGACTGGAATTCACACCCCCTGAAGACCTGAACCCCCAGACTCTGGACTCAGGGAAGGCCATCGGGGTCCCTGGGATCACAGCACCTCAGTGTGGGCCACTGCCAGCATCAGTGTCCCACTCAGCCCAAGGGACAGGAGCCGTGTCCCTGCTGCCAGGGAGGGATGGGGGCAGATTTTGAGGTCTCCAACCAGCTCTGACCGAACGGGGGCTGTGGCCTGAGGCGATCGGCACCTTGGATGGTGAGCAGGATATTACCCCGAGAACTTCTGCTCCTGGGGCAGGGATGGCCCAGCCACTTCCTTGGAGACCAGCCTAGGGATTTCTCCAGCCAGGGCTGACCACACCTGGATGGGCCAGAGGGTCTTTTCCACAAGCAGAGAGGTCAGCAGCATAGCTCCCATTGTCACCATGGAATCATTTGGGTTGGAAAAGCCCTCTGAGCCCAAGTCCAAACATTCCCAGCACTATCAAGGCCAAAGTGCTGTCCCATGTCCCCAAGTGTTGCTCCACCCCTGCTCTGGGCAGCTGTGCCATGGCTGGACAAACCTTTCCATGCAGGAATTGTTCCCGGTATCCAACCTGAACCTGCTCTGGCCCAGCCTGAGGCCATTTCCTCTGGTCCTGTCCTTGTCCCACCAAGAGCAGCCTCTGTGTCACCTCAAACACTGTTTTGATGTAGCTCAGAGGTAGAGTGGGCAGAACCAGGAGGAGCCCAGGCTGGTTTCCCAAGGGTCCCCATCTCTGGGGACTTCCCAGCTCTATCAGAAGCAGGCATGGCTGCTCTCAGAGGAGACTTTAGGGGCCTCACTGGAGCCAACATCAAACCAGCTGTGACTCCCAGCTGCAGATCCTTGATAGGCCAGGAGGTGACACCAGGCCAGCTCTATTTAAGGAGCTTAAAGATGTTCCCAGAGCTGGGAGCTCCCACTTCCAGTACACTGCTCCTGGCTCTGGCAAAGCCTTGGGGCAGGTGGATGATGGGTTACAAGGAAAGGCGGCTGCCAAACCCCACTGTGACCAACCAGGGGCTCCAGGAGAGCTGGAGAGAGCCTGGAGGGACAGGACACAGGGAATGGCTTCCCATTGCCAGGGTTGGATGGGATTTTAGGAAGGAATTGTTCCCTAGGAGGGTGGGCAGGCCTTGGCACGGGGTGACAGAGAAGCTGTGGCTGTTCCATCCCTGGAAGTGTCCCAGGCTTGGAGCAACCTGACCTAAGAGTATCCCTGGAAGAAGACAACAGAGATCAGCTCTGGGGCACCAGGCAGGCGGAGCTGAGGAGCCAGGACCTTCCCTCTCCATCCCCAGGAGCAGAGTCCAGCCAGTGACCACCAGCATGGAACATCCCCTCAGGGGCTGTTTCCCAGAACACTTTAATTCATAAGGACCTAAACCCAGGGTGGGCAATAGAAGGGCTGGTTCTCAGCTGCCACACAGGGTTTGGTCTCTGTTTCTGTTCCTCTCTCAGAATCCAGGAGCAGAAACCACTGGATTTCTTAGAGCCCAAGGAAAACCCCACTCCTCAGCAGCTGCCTGAGCACTGGGATGGGCTCTGCTCCATCCCTGTCCCCACCAGGCAAAAGCCAGCCCAAACCCCAGCACTGATTTAAGGAGATTTTTTTTCTACTTTCAAGGTGCAATAAATTAAGGCACCAAAGAGCCAGAACTCCCCCAAGAAAACCTGTGCAGAGGAAGCAGTTCCAGTTTTGGACAGGGATGTTTTTTCTACACATCGAGACTTAAGCTCAGACAACCCCACCCAGCCTCAGCAGCATCCCAGCCCTCAGGGACCCATGGGAAGAGACAGAACAAGGCAAGTGCCAGGTTTGGGAGCCCAGAGTTCAGCTGGAAGCCTGAGGGAACAGCTCAGCTCTTCCCTGGTTGGGCAAACACAAAACTAGACAGAAAATCATCCAACATCCACATTTTTCAGTGTTGCCAGCCCAGCTCTGCTATCTGAACAAGTCCCACAGGAAGTTGTGTCCCAGTTGAAGATTCCCTCTAATTCCTGTGCAAGCAGGACTTAAAATTTATCTCCATAATTCTATTTCATGAAATAGCAGGAGTCAAAAACTCAGGTGCAGCCCAAGTCGTTTGTCCACTGAGGTTTTTTTTTTGCTGTACAACATCAGTAAAATAGATTGGAGGAAGCCACTTTATTAAATAAACTCCAAAAACCATCGGCCCCCTCTCCCAGCCCCGCTGCAGCCATACGGACACATGAGCACACGGAGATCCAGAGCCTCCCACGACGGATGGCAGCTCTGGGAAGGGCCCAGTTTGCTCCTCACAGGCTGTACCGTGACCAGGGGCTGACCAGGGGCTGACCATGAGCTGCCCAAGCAACCCACAAGCTCACGAGCTCAACCTCGGGGTTTCCAGTCTCGTCGCCGGCATGACAGTGATTCAAATTTCCAAAAGAAAAAGCATTAAATAGCAGTCACACATTGAAGGTTTCCCACGGCAGGACGAGGCTTTCCCAGCAGAAGGAAATCGCTCTGACCAAGCTGTGATGCCCCACGTTGCACAACAATCAGTGTCTGAAAATTTGTTCCCATGGGAGTTCCACCTGCACGATCGGCTGTGCTTGTTCACTTCCGGATGCAGCCTTTCCAGAGCCTGGCTTTAAGCTACACTCTTCATTCAAGCACAGGTCTTCATTGAATCAAGCCAGCAGGAAAAAAAATCAGCATTCAGTCTTCACCACCCCACTCCAACTCAATTATAAAAACAAATTAAAAAATGAAATCAATGCAAACACATCTTTGACAAGTGGACAGTAAACGGAAGAGATGCCTGGATGAGACACGCGGGTGCTGGGGACAGAGGGAGATCTGGAAAGGTTCCCACCCCTGGGAGCATCCTGCAGGTGCACAACACGGGGCTTCAGCTGCTTCTCCCAGCAGTGGAATTGCAATTGGGAAGGGCAAGGCTGTTCCTGGCTGTGGAAAAGGGGCTCAGGCAGCAGGAAAGGAGCCACGGAGCCAACCCACAACAGCAAATCCATGCTGGTAGGAATGGGGAGAGCTTGGCTCTGTATTCTCAGCCACCTTCCACAGCCCAGACCCCACTCCCAGACTGGGAACACACATGGACACACAGGAACACGTTGAGATGTGGTCCCAGCTACCACACAATGTACCACATTCCTATTCCCATGGGGAACTGAGCCCTGATTTTCCAAGCCCTGCCAGGGAGGACTGAACTATAAGCTTTGAGTGTCTTCTCTTTTTTTTCCCCCCTAAAAAAACAAACAAACAAAAAAAAAAAAACAAAAAACAAAAAACAGAGGTGTTAGCAAGTGTTTGCCCAAAAGCAGGAAGGGAGGACAGAATGTGGGAGAACTGTCACCATCTGCTCCCAAAGTACCAGCCCAGCACAGGGGCTGTCCAGACAGCAGCACTGGGGACAGTCAGGAGCCACCCCAACCACCAGGATGTCCCCCTGCCCTTGGAGGAATCAGCTGTGTTGGTTTTGGCGTCAGGCCAAGGTGCTTTGCTCAGGTAAAGCATTTGCATCCCCAAGCAGCTTTCCCTGAGCAAGGGCCGGAGTCAGAGGCTTCTCTGGGAACATTCAGCTGGTCTAAGGTACAGTAGCAGCGACCTGAAAGGCTCCTCCTCCTCCAGCTCCACCCAAAACCCGAAGCTCGCAGGGATGGAAGAGCAGCAGGAGCCGCCCCGGCCCAGCCCCGCCCCGGCTGCAGCGGATCCCGCGTGTCCTTGGCCCTGTCCAGAGGATAGTTTGGATCTGTGGTGATGGCTGAAGTATTTACAGGTATTTGCAGCAGGTATTTACAGTCCTTCTGCAGCCCGCAGGCCGATTTTCTCCTCCTCTGCTCCCAGTCAGTCCGGAGTGGGCTTCCGTAGGGAGAAGGGCCGGATGTTGAAGTGCCTGCTCAGCTGGCTCACCTGGGGATGAGACAGACATAGGATTGGTTTATCCCGGATCCCATGGGGTTATCCCAGATCCCAGGCACGAGCAGCAGAGCAGGCAGAGCCCCAGACCTGTTCCCACCAAGCTCTTGCCACCCACTCTCCCCACAGCCCCATCCCCAGGCACAGGCTCCACAGGGAACAGCCCTGCTCCCTTCACAGCCTTCCCAAACAACAGCCTGGTCTCTCTGGGAGGGGGCTCACCCTCCATTCTCGCCCTCTGCAGGGACAGGAGTTGGGAATGCTCAGTCCAGACCTGCAGGATTTTACCCTCCTCCTTTATTACTCTGATTAAATTAATTTGATCATCTCAGCTATCTATATAAAATATTCCTGAATCCATTCAAAGTGGGAGCTGGATAATTTACTTGCTGCAAAAGGAGGCTGAGCTTGACACAGTCAGGGCAGAGGCTTTATTCCTAATCATTCCTCCCAAATTCAGAGCAGTTTGGGATTAGGCCTCAATCCCAAAGCCTTTAAAGGCTCTTCAGCTCAAAGTGACTTTCCTCCTGGAAGAGGAGCTGGCACAGATGGGCCCTTGAAAGCCAGAGGGAGGGAAAGAGGGAGCAGAGGGAGCAGAGCACAGGGAATCTCCCAGGAGGGGATGGCCAGGAGGATTACACCACCCGCTCAGCCCCATCTCCAGTGGTGATTCCAAGACCAAATTTATTTAAGCTTCTTAGTAATTCAAATCCTTCTTTCACAGAAGCCTCATTAGACTAATTGTAAAGACAAGGCAACCTGGCTGTTACTCCTTGGCTGTAATTACAACTGGGACTCGGCTCCATAGGCTCTGGGGTAGAACCGGGGCTCCCCAGGGAGGGTGTCCTCACTTCAGCTGGGACATGTGGTCCCCTGTCCTCTTTCCTCAGCAGCTTCCCAGGGGAACTCTGGGCTTCTCCAAGTCTGTTCTCCCTGTTAAAACTGAGGGAGCCAGGCAGGGTAGGAGGAGGAAACCAATCTCTGGATCTGTGCACAGCCCTTGCAGCAGGGGAGGCCCTGGAGCTGCTGTGTTCCCACTTTACCCAGCAGGAAAATCCCCACTCCAGCCTGGCTCTCCCAGCAGCTTGGAGACCTCGGTGGCAGATCTCAGAGCCCCTTCCAGGGCCTGAAATGGCTCCAGGAGAGTGGAGAGAAAGATTTTGGACAAGGCCTGGAGGGCCAGGAGCCAGGGAATGGCTGCCAGTGGCAGAGGGCAGGGCTGGATGGGATTTGGGGCAGGAATTGTTCCCTGGCAGGGTGGGCAGGCCCTGGCACAGGGTGCCCAGAGCAGCTGTCCCTGCCATGGCAGGGGTGCCACTGGAAGGGTTTCAGGTCCCTCTCAACCCAAACCACTCCAGGATTTTGTGCTTGGTTTCTAAATCAGCCAACACACCCCAGAAGAAGGACAGCCCATCACATCCTGTGCAAGTTCCTTTCAATCCTGTGCAACCCTCCCAAGCCAGCCCACATTCCACAGGCTCACAGAACCATTCCCAGCGATATTCCCAGTTTTACGTGGAGCATTCCCTGCCCCAAGCAGCAGCACTCCAGGCCAGGAGCTGTCACCTACCACGACCACTCCATAGTGGATGTGTGCCAGGGTGAGGAAGGCGGTCAGCAGGTACAGCAGGAGCGTTTCGCTGCCGGGAGCCAGCCCGGACAGCACCAGGAGCAGCACGGCCGCGATGGGGAGCAGCATCCAGTTGAGGGGCTGGCACCGCGTGCTGCTCATCTGGCACACGATCAGCTGGCACTGAGGGAACAGGGACAGAGCCTGAGCCTGGTGTGGGCTCCGGGAGCCACAGCTGGTTGTCCCCAGAGCAGAAGGGATGGTCACTCATGTGATCTGTCACTCTGTCCCTGTGCTGGCACTGCTGGGGCACCTCCAGTGCTGGGGGCAGCTCTGGGCCCCTCCTGACACGAGAGCCCTGGAGGGGCTGGAGCGTGTCCAGGGCAGGGAACGGAGCTGGGAAGGGGCTGGAGCCCCAGGAGAGGCTGAGGGAGCTGGGAAAGGGGCTCAGCCTGGAGAAAAGGAGGCTCCGGGGGCACCTTGTGGCTCTGCACAAGTCCCTGCCAGGAGGGGACAGCCAGGAGGGCTCGGGCTCTGCTCCCAGGGCACAGGGACAGGACAAGGGGAAATGGCCTCAGGCTGGGCCAGGGCAGGCTCAGCTTGGCCAGCAGCAGGAATTTCTCCCTAGAAAGGCCTTGGCAGGGGCTGCCCAAGGTGATGAAGTCACATCCTTGGAGGGATTTCAAAGCCCTGTGGATGTGGCACTTGGGGACACTGAGCAGGGATGACCTTGGCAGGGCTGGGGGACAGCTGGATTCAGTGGTCTCAGAATGCTTTTCCAACCTTAACAATCCCATGATTCTACCACTATGCAGCTAAACTGTATTTTGACCAAAAATTTAGTCCTCCCATTTTATCCCCAAAAGGAGGCAGGAACTCCCTTCCCATCAGCACTTTGTTCCTCACAGCACACGTGAAAACTCAATTTAACCAATTCTCCAGTTCATCAAGCATAAAGCAGAAGCTCTTACAGAGATGTTGGCGAAGGCTGTTCCAACCATGAAATAGAAGAGTCTGGGCTGGACCTCCAGGATGTCAGTGGGGGACAGGAAGATCCAGGTGGTGCAGAGCAGGAACAGCAACACTGGGGACACGAGGGGCAGCAGGATTTCGTACACAGAGTGGTGCTTCAAGGTGTTATTTTTATAGGCCCTGAAACACAAGCAATGAAATGAAAATACATGGAATCACTGAGAAATCCCTGGTGCTGCCTGCAGTAAGTACCTGAAGGGGCTCCAGGAGAGCTGGAGAGGGACTGGAGGGACAGGACAAAGGGGAATGAGTTTCTACTGCCAGAGGGGCAGAACTGGATGGGATTTTGGGGCAGGAATTGTTCCCTGGCAGGGTGGGCAGGCCCTGGCACAGGTGCCCAGAGCAGCTGGGGCTGCCCCTGGATTCCTGGCAGTGCCCAAGGCCAGGCTGGACAAGGCTTGGAGTAACCTGGGATAAAGGAAGTGTCCCTGCCCACAGCAGGGTAGGCACTGGGTGGGCTTTCGGGTCCCTTCCCACCCCAACACTCCTGGGATTCTACAAACTCACTTGTAGAAGTTGTACAGGCTCATGGGCAGGGTCACAGTGAGGGCACAGGCTGGAAGAGAAAAGTGCTGCGTTAGTGCCCCAGGGCACAGGGGCCGCCCCATGCACCCCAAACAGGAGGCTGTGGCTGGGCTCTGCTTTAAGTTCCCTGCACCAAAAATAGCTCCGAGGGTGCCCCAGGAATAGCTCAGCACGTTTGGAAGTAGCTGCTCCCAAGTCTGGCCCAAGAGCTGTAATTAAAAGTCGAGGTCTGCTGTAAGCTGAAGACATTTCCATTTGAAAGGGCTGCATTAAGGAGCTCGTGCTTTAAACAGTGACAAAGCTTAATTATAATACAACTCTAATGTGACACGAGTGCACACTCCTCAAATGACACAGCTGGGCACAAGAGCTTTCACAATAAAGGCAATTTGCTGTTTCTCTGGCTGTGTGCAAACATTTCCAGTGGTCACACTGCCAGAAAGTTGTCATTTAACTGGATAAATGATACAAAGCACCCAAACAACTGAAAAATCCTGACCTCAATCAGAACCATCAGCACTATCCATGATATTCCAGGACAACTCCTTCCCTGTTTATCCAGCAGAAGGTGTGTGAACAGAGCTGGAAATACTCCTGCTCCTCTCCCCCATGTGGGAATTGGGCTCAGTTTCTCATATAGGAAAAGCACGTTCATTATTCATGTTAAGTCACACAGCTGTCAAAGGAAAGCTGGGAACATCCACCCGATAAAAGTGCAAGAAGTAGATTCAACACACCAATTAACTCAAAATTGAGCAATTACAAAGAACACCTGAAGGGACACAGAAAATAAACTGAGCAGAACTTGTGAATTAGGAAAAGCACTGAACATCAGCTCAGCTCTACCCTTCGCAGTGGCTTATTGCAACTGACCACAGGAGAGCGAGGCTGGGCCTTTATTTCAATTTTATTAAGACAAGGATGATGATGATGCAATGTTCAGGTGGGTGGATGGAGGGCAGGATCCCCAAACAGCAGAGCTCCCACCCCTCCATGGCTGCAACCTCCCTCCCACACCGTGTTTGGGCTCTGGGGCGAGAGGGAGCCCCGGAGCAGCAAAACAAAAGTGTCCTGACCCCCTCAAACCAGCCCAAGGCTGGGGAGGCTCCACGGTGAGCCAGGTCCCACCACCCCCTGCACACTGGGCTTTATCCCCTGGAAACTCTGGGTTTATCACACTGGTTTTACCCCCGGGCTCTCACTGAGGACAAACTAAGCTGCTCTGGAGTGAAGTCAACCCAGGCAGATCGGGAGTTAAGTTCCCCAAAATAACTGCAGGAGACAACCCTGTTTTGAAATCCTGGGAAAGGTTTTCAGGCTGTGAGAACACCTTCAATTAGTCACTTCAACAACAGCCCGGGGCAGCAAACAGAGCAGTGTTAGCAGGTCATTAGCAGGGGGTTTGGGAAAAAGGTGCAGTTTAAAAGACAAGCTTCAACATGGAGTTTCTTACCAATAATCATTGCAGTGAATAGGTCTCTATATAAGAAATTAAACAGGAAAGGTGCATACCAGGCCTCAACTCCCACAAAGGCTGTCACTATGTAGACAATTGAAATGGTCTGAAAGAAAGCACAGGACAAGCAGGGGTGAGAAATGTGATGGGCAAGTCTGGCAGCACCTGGGCTGGCAGCACCTTGCGTGTGCCAGGCAGCTCCGGGGAAAGGCAGCTCTAAGCTATGATATGTTCAGTCCTACCCACCAGCAGGAAGGAGAAAAATAAAACAAATCCACAAATATCCCACGTTACCAGGTGTAGGAAGGGTGAGCTGCTCAGCAGGGATTGGATTGGGAAGTACCTGTCCCTTGTGCTGGCACTGCTGGAGCACCTCCAGTGCTGGGGGCAGCTCTGGGCCCCTCCTGACACGAGAGCCCTGGAGGGGCTGGAGCGTGTCCAGGGCAGGGAACGGAGCTGGGAAGGGGCTGGAGCCCCAGGAGAGGCTGAGGGAGCTGGGAAAGGGGCTCAGCCTGGAGAAAAGGAGGCTCCGGGGGCACCTTGTGGCTCTGCACAAGTCCCTGCCAGGAGGGGACAGCCAGGAGGGCTCGGGCTCTGCTCCCAGGGCACAGGGACAGGACAAGGGGAAATGGCCTCAGGCTGGGCCAGGGCAGGCTCAGCTTGGCCAGCAGCAGGAATTTCTGCCTGGAAAGGGAGCTCAGGCCTTGGCAGGGGCTGCCCAGGGAGCTGCTGGATTCACATCCTTGGAGGAATATAAAAACCACGTGGAAGTGGCACTTGGGGACCTCGGCCAGTGGTGGCCTTGGCAGTGCTGAGGACATGGCTGGACTCGATGGTCTCAGACGGCTTTTCCAACTTCAATGATTCCATGAGAAGGATATGACCAGGAGCTGCAGGAGAGATGCCCTGGCACAGCCTTGAACTCTTGAGGTGACCAAAGCACAGGTTTTACACAAGTTGCAGTGACCCTGAAGGGGTCATCCAAGGACTCTTCCTTATCCATCTGCTGCTGGATCACAGGGAGAAGCTCACCAGGGCTATTTCAGCTTTAATAGTCCCCTGAAGCTGGGTGGAACACGTTGCTCTGCCCTCCACCCCTGCCTTTCTCCAGCAGGCAGCTCAAAGACCTGGGTTAAGCAACATTTTGGGAGAAAGGATCAGAGTATAGACAGGGACCAGCTCTGGTCTCCTGAGAGAGAGGAGAGAGGACTATTCCAATTAATACAGCTGCATTAATTGAACTCTCCTCCCAGCTCACTGCATTTCCCACCCAGCATCTGACAAGCCAGAAGATAAATAAATGGACATAAGATAAGGAGTTATAACGAAGAAGGTTTTTGACAATGAGGGTGGTTGCCCAGAGAAGCTGTGGCTCCCCTATCCTTAAAAGTGCCTGAGGCCAGGCAGGACAAAGCTTGGAGCAACCTGGAGGAGGCACTGCCAGCAATCCAGGTGAGCTGCCTCATCCTCATGTCCCAGTTCTCTTCAGGAAGAGCTTCCTGCAGAGAATTCCTTAAGGAGGGATGGACACACCAACACCCCAAAGGGTCCATCACCACCAGTCTCAACACCCACTGCCCACAGACCATGGTCTGGAGGGGCACCTCCCCAGCAATCTTTGCTCCAGGAACAGCAATTAACAAGGCAGTTACCACTGCTGAATTTTTGACCCAGATCCTGGGAGTGTCAAAAGGCATCCCAAACTTCCAGGCTTCAATTTACCCACCCTGGCACCATGTAGGGAACTACATAAAGCAACAATCCCGGTGGGCAAAGGAACCAGGGAAAGGAGAGCCAAGGCAATGTCCATCCTTCAAGCCTTGTTTGTCATGGAGAGCCCATCTCCATGGACTGATTCCATGATTTACAGGGCTCTGGATCCACAGCAGAAGACCCCTCAGTGGGCAGCAGGTTCTCAGGGTGTGTACTTACCACCTGGCTGACGTCATATCCCCAGGGCAGGAAGAGAATCCCTGTGTTATACTTCTCCCAGTGGGAAAGGATGAAGGAAAACAAGACCACCCACAGCAGGAGGTAGAGGACGAAGACACTGACGCCGGTGGAACCTCGGCCAAAGGTGGAGTACACGGTGACCACAAAGTAGACGCAGGCCCAGCTGTCCAGGCCGTGGTCAAAGAGCTCTCCCAGGGGGGTGCTGGAGTTGGTCCGGCGTGCCTGCTTCCCATCAACACCGTCTGGGAAAAGAAACATGGAGCTTTCCTGGACATTCCGCACCAAGCAATGGGCCAGGGAACAGCAGCTTTCCCCACCTCCATCCTCAATCAAAGAATGGGCTCCCCACCCCCTGCTCCATGGGAGGCTGAAAAATGCAACAGTCTGATGAGATGATATTTATTTCCTTGTGTTTCCTTCATATTCCTTAAAGCAGCCTCTTCCTGTGCCTAAAGGAAGTCCAAGAGAGCGACTGGGGACAAGGGAGGGAGGGACAGCAGGAATGGCTCCAAACTGGAAAAGGGGGAATTTGGGTGAGATATTGGGAAGGAATTCCTAGCTGTGAGTGTGGGCAGGCCCTGGCACAGAGAAGCTGTGGCTGCCCCTGGATCCCTGGAAGTGCCCAAGGCCAGGTTGGACATTGGGGCTTGGAGCAATCTGGGATAGTGGAAGGTGCCCCTGCCCGTGGCAGGGGGTAGAACTAGAGGATTTTGCAGGTCCCTTCCAACCCAAACCATTCTGGGATTCTCTGATTATTTAAAGCAGACCCAAGACAGAGTTTCACAGCTCATCTCAAAGCCAGTTCCAGTATCCTTTTTTCCCATCAGATGCTCTGGGATAACTTCCTTGTCTCCACATTGCAAAGCAGCTCCCAGAAACTGCTCTTGGCAAGAGCACAGAATGTAATACTTCCCATGGGCTCAGAGAGGGGACAACACAACCACAGCACCAGTGGGTGACCCTGAAAACTCTTACCTAATGTGTAGGCCATGAAGTTGAGGAGCCCCACCACGATCCACACGCCGTTTGGAACGTGCTGGTGATCAGGAGCTGCAGGGATCAGACAGACCCGTGTCAGGACAGTTCAGGATGTGCTTCCAGAGGGTTTGTTTTGGCCCAAGAGGCACAGCCACGAGGACTCAAACAGTGAATCTGGGATGTGAGCTATGCAGGGTGTGATGGCAGAGCTGCCCCACAACAGCTCATGAAACCAGGTCAGTGAGGACTTTGCCTTCCAGGATGTATTTGTCCTTTGTTCCCAGCTCTCCAAAATCATGGGATCTGAGAACTGGGGCCAGTTCTGTAGTGCCACTGCAGGCTGTGGCAGTGTGTGCAAAGGACACTCCCCAGTCACTGGCTCACAGAGCATCAAGTGGAGCCTCTTTGATGTGGCAACTCCCTGCCCCCGCAGGAACATGCCAGGATTCCCCGCCCAGTCTCCAGTCCCATCCTGCCAATGGAAACGAGCTCTTCCCTAATGGCACCTCCACCTCCTCTGCACGGCTCGGGCAGCGAGCCAGCCGAGCTGGCTGCAATCAGGGAGCCCAAAGGGACACTGGAGAAGGGCAGGAAGAGGCATGGATCCTTGGCAGCAGGAGGGCACAGGGAGGTCTCCTGGGGGGACAATGAGCCCGTGAAATGCCACCTCCTGTTTCCTCAGGGCAGCAGGATGGGGCCTTTCTAGCAGCAAAGGGAAGGAGGGTATCACATCTGCAAAGCCATCCAAGGAGGAGGGAAGGCACAAAATTTTGGAGGCCTCAGCAGCACCAGGAAAAGTTCTCTGTCCAAGCAGGACGTGCAAAACATGTATGTGAAAGGGTCCCAAGCCATGAGCTTCTCCATCCTTCCAAAGCCAATTTCTGAGAAGCTGGCAGAGTCGGGGATATCCAGCTTGGAGAAGAAAAGGCTCCAGGGAGAGCTCAGAGCCCCTTCCAGGGCCTAAAGGGCCTCCAGGAGAGCTGGAGAGGGTGGGACAGGACAAGGGGGAATGGCTTCCCACTGCCAGAAGGGTTAGATGGGACTTGAAGCAGCCTGGGACAGCAGAAGGTGTCCCTGTCCCTGGCAGGGGGTGGGACTGGATGGGTTTAAGGTCTCTTCAACTCAAAACATTCTGGGATTCCATGATTCTGGATGCCTGACATCCTAGGGGTTTTCACCTTGAGCTACTGGCAGCTTTTCTTCTCGCGGCTCATGGACCGTAACAGCCCAAATCCTGGCCAGCAGCCATAGGATGCCAGCTGAGCCTTCAACAAACTTGACTTGTTTACCAATAAAGGCAATCCCAAGAAACCCGGATTTCTGCCACATAACCCTGCTTTGATGATGGGTCCAGTTTAGAAGAACTACACAAACTCTCCTGAGCAACCTAAACCAAACCTGGCAGGGTCTAAGGGAGAGAAAAGCACGGAGAAGCAGCTCCTGAGAATTATCATACTGCATTAATCCTTTCTCTGGGTACTCTTCCATGTGCAAAGGGACAGAACCACTGGATTCACAGACAGATGAACTTGGGTCTGTTAGAAAGTTTAAAGCTCTAAGTGATGAAGCTCAGAAAGAGGATTTGGCCTTGTTAGTCTGATGTGGTGGTGGTTCTGCCAAGAGGGGAATGAGCTGGGATGTGAAAAACAAGGCTCTTCCTTGATTTCCTGTTAGATTTTCAAACGAGGGCACTGGGTTGTTTGCTCTGCAGGCAGAGCCAATTCCAACCCAAGATTCCAGCTGTCTCCTCCTCCCTCTCCCAGCCAGGAGCACCTTTCCCTGGCAGCCAGAGGGAAGGTGTCACACCCAGACAAGTCCTTATCACAAAACCCAGTGAGTTCAATCCCCTCCTCTGTCCCAGTCCCTTTGGGAAGGCCCAGACCCACAGGCCTACCCAGCAAGCACTGGAATTCCCAACAGAGGAGGTGACAGATTTCCCATCTGACCAGGAACATGCAGCCTTACCAGAAGCATAAAAGTCAGGGTCGAAGTATGCCATGAGGAAGAAGTTGAAGACAAGCAGCAGGAAGCCAGAAAACGTTATCAAATTTGGGGCCAGCCAGGTAGGGAAGATCTATGGGAAAGCAGCAAAAGAACAGATGAACTCATTAAAATATGGACTGAGGAGGAGGCGCTGCTCCAGCCACGGCTGCACCGCTCGGGGTTAGACAGTACTGCCAGGAGCACCCGGAGCAGCCCGGGGCAGCAGGAAGCGCTGGGCTGGGATGCAGGCATTCAGGGATTCGGGGCAGGCTGCAGGCAGCCCCTCACTCATTAGTGGCACCACAAAAGAAGCAGCTGATGGTGTTACAGAGGTGACCTGGGCTGTGATGGGGACTCACCTTCACAATGGCGTTCCAGAAGGGATGCATGACATACAGGGACAGGGGGTTGCTGTCCACGGCGCTGTACTGGGAAAGGGAAACAAAACCCAACAGTTAGGGCTCCAGCAACTTGCAGGAAAAGCCAGAGATCTGGAACCTTCTGAGCCCCATCCTGTGTGGAACCCCCACAGGACTCCTGCTGTAGCCCCCACCAATCCTCCACCCTTTGGAAATGCCAACTCCAGCTCTCCGAGTGGATGCAGGCAAGGAGCAAGATGCTGATCCTTTCAACTGCTTCCAACTGCTCTGCCCCACCTGGATGAGGAGAAATGCTGTGGGTCCTGCCCTCCAACAGTGCCATCTGTCACCTGCTCTGCTGTGACCCCTTTGTTCTCTTGCTGGTCCCAGTCTCCACCCCCACCTCCAGCAGTGGAACTGGGAACCCCTTGAGCAGGATGGGTCTCAAAGGGCCCTCTCCACTGAGGAGCTGAGATTTCACCACAGGCAGCTTCGGGAATGGGGAGGGAGAGCTCTTATCCCTCATCCCATCACTTTTATTTTTGAGGTGCTCAGGGTGTGTTTGTGGTGGGGGAAATAAAAATAGAAATAAAAATCAAAAATATAGACAAGACATGAAACAACTTCCAGCTAGAAAGTTCAAAATTGACATCATTTGGCTCTTGAGAGCAGCATGAGCTGTTACCTGCTCTCACAGCTCCTTCCAAACACAGATTACCCTGGCTGAAATCCTCTTCTCCCAGGAACACTTGAATAAGAACTGCAAGAACAATTCCATAGGCTACCAAACTCCTGGGCTCAGATGCTCGGTGCTGCGCTGGGCAGAACCTGCTGCTCATCCCCAGCTCCAGCACAGGCATCTGCCCAAGTCCAGTCCCAACCACAGAATCCCAGACCGGTGTGGTTGGGATGGGACCTTCCAGAAACTCCAGTGCCACCCCTGCCATGGCAGGGACACCTCCCACTGTCCCAGTGTCCAGCCTGGCCTTGGGCACTGCCAGGGATCCAGGGGCAGCCCCAGCTGCTCTGGGCACCCTGTGCCAGGGCCTGCCCACCCTGCCAGGGAACAATTCCTGCCCCAAATCCCATCCAGCCCTGCCCTCTGGCACTGGCAGCCATTCCCTGGCTCCTGGCCCTCCAGCCCTTGTCCCCAGTCCCTCTCCAGCTCTCCTGGAGCCCCTTTGGGCCCTGCAAGGGGCTCTGAGCTCTCCCTGGATCCTTCTCCAGGTGAGCACCCCCAGCTCTGCCAGCCTGGCTGCAGAGCAGAGGGGCTCCAGCCCTGGAGCAGCTCCGGGGCCTCCTCTGGGCTGATTCCAACAGGTACCAAATTTGGTTTGGTTGGTAAAAGGAAACCCCTCAGCAAAGAGCAGCTCCAGGTCCCCCTCCCAGCCCATGGCTTTGAACCAGCCCCTGTCACTGCACCCATGGATTGCTCCAACCTGTTCCTCTCCTTGTCTGCATACCCCACTTTTCCCTGGAAGTGACAAGTGGTGGGAAAGGGCAAAGCACCATCCCCCCAAGACGGGCTACAGGACCAAGAAGGGGCACCAGGTCTCGCTGGGGCCCCATCTCACAGCATTTGTTCCCACCTGAGTGAATCCCATCCCTGGCAAGGATTTCTGTACCCTCTCCCAGTCCTTCCCTGCCCTCCCTGTGCGGGGCCAGTCCATCTCCCAGGGATTCAGCACCAGAAGTTGCATGCCCACACCAGCAAAGCCACAGGAGCTGCAGAACAAGAAGCAACAAACCCCATACGGAGGCGACTCTAAGCTGCAAGGAATTTCCATCTCAGCTTAATGCAATTTTGGGGGACAGAATTCCAAATGCTTTACAAGATAATAGGATTTGAAGCACCAGTTAGAGGAGGAGGAGAGACTGATTTAATCTCATTATCCCTAAAACAGCCTGGAACAAGAAAACAGATGCAAGGCTTGAAGCAAGGCAGGGAAAGCACTCCAGAGCCTCTGTGCCCATGCTTGGAAGGTACCTGAGGGAAGTTTCACCAGGCTCACGGCTCGGGAAGCTTTCCCCTCTCTGTGCAAGGACTGGGGATAATACTCAATAGACAGCTTTTCCCCATGGCCACACATATTCCCACTCTGCTTGTAGAACTCAAAGACCTGGGAAGAGCCGTTTCTCGGATAAAGGGCAGCTGCTCTGCAGAGGTTTGCTGATACAACTATGGAATTATGGAATATCCTGGGTTGGAAGGGACCATGGAATCATGGAGTTCAACTGCTGGCCCTGCACAGACCCCCAGCAATCCCACCCTGGGCATCCCAGAGTGCCCAAAGGCTCCTGAAGCTCTGACAGCTTTGGGGCCATGCCCATTCCCTGGGGAGCCTGGGCAGTGCCAGCACCCTCTGGGGGAAAAACCTTTCCCTGAGATCCACCCTAAGCCTCCCTGGCACAGCTCCAGTGGTTCCTTTGGGTCCTGTCCCCGTCAGAGATCGGAGCTGCCCCTCAGGAGGAACTTGCTGACATCTATGAGCTCTCCTCTCAGTCTCTTCTCCAGCTGAACAAGCCAAGTGCCCTGAGCTGCTCCTTGTGTAGCCCCTCCAGACCCTTCCCTATGTGTGTGCCCCTTTGGATGCTCTCCCACAGTTTGAGATCCTTCCTGTGCCCCCCAGCTCCTGCCAGGCTCCAGCCAGGGCACTTCTTTGTGGCCAGCCCCGCTGTGCCCACTCTGGGGATGCCCTGGGGCACAGGGACACAACCAGGGCTGGCTCTGGTGCCAGGCTGGCTGCCACTCTTGGGGACAATGCTCTGGACAGCCAGGACACGGCTGCCTGCCCAGGACAGCCGCTCCCAGAATACCAATGAGTTGCCAGGCATCTTCAGGAACAAATCCCAAGAGCATCTTGGCCATGCTCAGCCTCCTCCAGCTGCTTTTCCTTGTTGGGGTCTTCCTTACAAACATTACTGAAGTTTTCCCTTCCATCTCCTCACTTGTGAAGCCTCAAACCCAGCAGCGTTTCAGCCTGGCACTGGTTCCATCATTCCCTCACCTCATCCTCACTGGAAATCAGCATCACTTTCTGCATTTTGGATCTCTACACACTGGTCTAGTGACTCACATCCTTATAAAAGTTGTTTTTCTATCACAACCAATGACTCCTACTAGCCTCTGGACTTCTGCCCCTTTTTCAGGGAAAGAAGGTTAAAGGAAAAGGAGAAATGTTCAGAAGGAATTTCATCCATCCCAGAGTCTCCTTCCCACAGCAGCCAGGCATTTGAAAAGGGTGCCCTAAAATAGCTCTGTGTTCACAGTCACAGCTTCTCCTCACGGCTGCAGGGAGGGGCCAATCCAGCCCAGGATTGGGGTCAGAACTCCTCAGGGAAAGAGCAAAACCGGCAGCCACAGTCTTCTACCACTGGCACCACAAAGGAGCCTCCTGTCCGTGCCAGGATGGCTCCAGGGAGCCACAGGCACCCCAGGAGCTGGGGACGGGCCTGGTGGCTGTGGTACCATCGCAGACGAGCTGGCTGGCGTTGTTATGGGATTTACAGACACAAATGGCTTGTATGGCTTCAACCCAACATTAATCGTGCAACCAGGATGCCTCTGGGAGATCCAATTATGTGTCCAAAGAGGAAAAAAATACAGATTTATAGTCCAGATTCTACTAATGGTCTTCCTGTCCCAGAAAAAACACAATTCTGCTTTGAAGTGATCTGGTTACCTGGAGCCAGCAGCAGACCAAGCACTACCATAGAATCCTAGAGTATCCTGAGCTGGGAGGGACCCACATGGGTCATCAAGGCCAGCTCCTGGCTCTGCAGAGGACATGCCAAGAATGCCACCACGTGCCTGGTGTGATTCACACCATCACCACTGTCTGGTCCTGGTGGTGTTGGCGTGTGACACCCAGGTGGGCTGGGGCAGCACAGCACTGGTGGCACCTGTGCTCAGGACAGCAAAGATAGATTTGCATATCCCATCTTGCTCACAGGTGCTCCAGGCAAAATGAGGAAACTCAGCAGAGCTGCTCCAGCAAGTCCTCGAGGCTGCTCCCTACAAATCTCCTTAAATATGAAGAGGGCACAAGGCTAAGAACCTTCTTCCCTCAGGCTCAAGATAAACCAGGAGGCAGAAAACTCAACCAATCCCAGCAAATGGAAGTGAGCAGAGCCCTGCCAGGAAAAACAAGGCACGTTTGCCCTATGCCCACCCTCAGCCAGTGTGTGAGGAGTCACCCCGCCCTGTAATGGCACTGATTAACTCGAGCCCTGTTTGTCTTTCCCAAGGTCACTTCTCAGCTGGCACCAGAACACAGCATGTTGGCAGCGGACAGCTGCACCCACCACGTGAGCCCATGGCTTTGGCTCCCACCAGGAAGCTGCAGGAAGGATGTGGATGTCCTGGCTGTGTGTTCCAGCTGCAGCTGTAGCGTGTCCCCCGTCCTCCTACCTGGGTTTCACTGTGCAGGTTTTAGACATCCAGCAATGAAAGATGCTCCAAAACACAGCATAAAGTCAAAGAATCACTGAGCATCTTCAAGCATCGAGTCCAACCATCCTCTGGCACCACCAAGGCCACCACTGTCCCATGTCCCCAAGTGCCACACCCACAGGGCTTCAAAATCCCTCTAGGGATGGGGACCCCTGCCCTGCCCTGGGCAGCTGTGCCAGGGCTGGAGAGCCCTCTCCATACAGGAATGATTCTCAATATCCAGCCTGAACCTGCCCTGGCCCAGCCTGAGGCCATTTCCCCTTGTCCTGTCCCTGTTCCCTGGGAGCAGAGCCCGAGCCCTCCTGGCTGTCCCCTCCTGGCAGGGACTTGTGCAGAGCCACAAGGTGCCCCCGGAGCCTCCTTTTCTCCAGGCTGAGCCCCTTTCCCAGCTCCCTCAGCCTCTCCTGGGGCTCCAGCCCCTTCCCAGCTCCGTTCCCTGCCCTGGACACGCTCCAGCCCCTCCAGGGCTCTCTTGTCAGGAGAGGCCCAGGACTGAACACCTGCAGGGTCCCCGCAAGGCCAGAGCCCCACTCCTTAACAAGGAACATGAGTGAATGCCACACAGAGCAGAAGCCTCCCTCCTGCTCCCCAATCCCTGCAGCATGTGCCAATTCATTGGGAAAACCACATTCCTGCCCAGC